ATTTTCAACTATTTTAAGTCATGATCATGTGTATTTTGATGATATTTATGAAACTAAATCAAAAGCTACGACTAAAATGTTAAAGGGTGCAGTTTGTATGAAGCCTAGGCTTTAAATAATCAAATTGGAGCCCACCTTCAAACATCATCGAGAAATATGGTTTCAATATTGGAAATATTTGTTATAGCCTTAAAATATATTTTTATCTTTATTTATAAAGTTTAAAGTTTAAAAAATAGTGGAGATTGACAGATCTATGAAAACTTAAAAATATTAAAAATTGATAGTAAAATATGTGTTACAAAATATACTATTTCCAAAAGTTGAAATTCATTTTCTTATCATGTCCATGCATCTTGATGTCGAGATGATTAATTTTAGGATATTTGGGCATCAAAACAACCACTTCTAATGAAATTTTTGATGTAGACTCTAATTTAATTGTTTAGAGCCTTGGCTCTATATAAGCTTTTCCTAATGTTAAATAGCTTATCTCTTGATATTATTTTTGTAAAGTGACTTTTCAAATTTTGTTATTTTTGGAAATTTATAAAGTATAGCCCAAAATGACTTAGAACCAATGACTTACCAAACATGTGTCTAGGCTCGATTTTGTGGAATATGGATTTATATAGCAAATCTCCACATGCAGATATTTTACTTGGCGTTAAGTTTGAGGCACCGACTCACGCTTACACCAACCACTCGTCGAAAATAGGTTTGCATGTTTAAAAAAAGTCTAAAGCTATATTAAACACAGTCGATACACATTGTTAACACGTAGTAGATTTCAAGGACATTTACGAGGAGTCATTTGACATGCGTAAAAGAGATACTAAAAATGATCCTTTTTTCTTCATAAACATAAGCACTTTTTAAAAAATATATATTTTGAGTCCACGGTTTTTCAAACTAATTATGGAGAAGTAGTAACACGCGTAAGTTTTTTTCTAAAATTAATATTTGAAAAAGATAGATAAGTTTCAAGGTAATATTGAAGGACCTTTCTCAAATTAATTGACAAAATACCCTATACTAAAAGGAAAAAAAAATGCTAATATAGACCATAAATAGATATATTCTTCAAACTACCTTGGTAATTCTAGTAATTTTTCTAAAAATACACAACTGTACCAATTTCCAATACTGAGTCAATGTTGAAGCAAATTCATCGAATTATTGAAGCAAATGGAATTTTTTATTTTTTGAAATTTCAAATTCATTGCTAGGAAGTATTCACCCCATGAAATGAATGTGCATTTCCGATGCAGATATTGTTATTATTCTTGAGCGTAATGATCTTATGAGACCATTCCACACCGATGTGTGTGTATAGGACTTCAAAGGATCCCCACTAAATTTAGTATAGATCTCTAAAAAAATCAAGTCTCACATTTAAGTGATAATTTTTCGAGAAATATATACTAAATTTAATAGTAGTCATTTAGAATTCTACACACATCTGTGTGGAAGGGTCTCATAATATCAGTATTTCATTATCAAAATCCCATAAAATTGAACGTACTCTTATACAATTTTCCCAAAAAAGGGTTACAAGTATATATTTTAATATAATTTGGGTGGGAATAACAAAATATTAAGTGCTAATAGAAAACTCACTATATAATATTTTAAATAGAAAAGATTTTGTGTTCCTGTATACTGCTAAAGCAAAGTTTACGGATTGATTCTAGGTCGATCTGACAATCACAGATGTCCGACAGTATTTGAATTTTAATTTTTTTTTCTACAAATCCAAATCACTTGAAAAAATAGACGAATCAACGAAAAAATATTAAATTTGTTTTTTTCATGAAATAAATTGACTAAAATACTATTGAAAAGTTTCAGAAGTATTTTGGTTAATTTATTTTTATAAATTATTTTTTTTATATTTTTATTAGATGTCTCTTGATGAAAAGAACACATTTCTAAAATTTTTTAATGTGATTTGAATATGTAAAAAAATAAAATAAAATTAAAATACTATCGAATATATGTGAGCATCAACTCCGTCACAAAATATCCGAAATTAAACGCGTAAGCAAGGGCTCCCAAATGAAATTAGATCATACAAGTAAATCAAATAATTTATTTGAAATTATTTCCATATTTTAGATACACTCTAAGTGTGTCAGATACTATGAGATAGCTGCATCATCCCCTCTTTTAACCCCTCTCTAACTCTCTCCTTATCAAACTTTCCCAGTTTATCCCTCTCTAACGCTACAGAGTCTCTCTATCTCGTCCCTCTCCAGCTTTAGGCTCCTATAAATAAACACCCTGAGCTCTCTTTTCTTAAATTGGAATCAGTCTTTTACCCCTCTCTCTCTCTCTCTCTCTGTCTCTCTCTCTGCATACAACGATCTGATTCTCTGTCTACCACTTTCCCCAATTGTTCTCTCTCTACTGCGATAATTACTCTGTTTCTTCTCGTTCTTTTGAGGTATTGGCGCTCTTATTGCTTCAGCATTCGGGTTTTTTTTTTCTCTGTGATTTCGTGTAATCTCTCTTTTTCTCTCCTTAGTCACTGTTGTATTTATTCATCTCTCTATACGCACACACATACATATATTATACTTCTCCATTTGCTCTGATTCTCTCTCTACTACTTTCCCAATTTGTTATGTTTTTATCTCTTCTGCGTTCCCCAATTGCTTTGGTTTTTCTTGTTCTTTTGAGCTCTCAGCACTCATAAGCTTCAGCATTCTGGGTTGTTTTGGGATTTCCTGTACAATCTTTCTCTCTCCCCCGATCAGTATTCAATTTATTGCTCTCTCTCTCTCTCTATCCTCATTCTATTGTTTGGTTTTTCTTTTGGTTTCTTGGGTTTGTTTCTCATTTTCCTTATTTTTTTTACTGGTTTTCTCTCAGGTTTTGTTGTATTGGTTCAGAGACTGAGTTTCATCTTTGAGGTAATGGTTTCCCCCTCCTCTGTTATGTATTTTTGAGAGAGAGAGAGAGAGAGAGAGAGAGAGAGAGAGAGAGAGAGAGAGAGAGAGTAGAGAGTAGTAGTAGTACGAGTAGTAGTAGTAGTAGTAGTAGTAGTACGTAGTACGTAGTACGTACGTAGTACGTAGTACGTACGTACGTT